GGTCCTCCAGCACAGATCTGCAGTGCACCCAGGTCCTCCCAGCTCAGATCCACATTTCACTCTGCTCTCCTGCCTCAACTCAGATCTCTAGTGCCTCCTGGCACTCCCAGTACTGGCTGGACAGGGATCAGATGGAGGTAGCTAGAGGTGGAAGCTGCCTGGCTGTCTTCCTGCAGGGCTGATGGACACCTCCCTGTGCACGCTCCCTCCTCTTTGCCAGGGCTCTCAGACTTTGCTTGCCCCTTGCCAGGTCCGGGAGAGGCTTGCTCTTGTAGGAGAGGGGGCCAGTTCCCCCTTCCACCTCAGGTTTCTGAAACAAGCGTCTCCCGGGGGGATTGGAATATAGGAACAGAGGGTGCCCCGGATGAGCACGGGGCAGGGGGTCGACACGGGGTGGACAGACCCGGACAAAAGGACTTGAGTCGTAGCCAAGGGTGAAGACGAAGGAGAGGGACTCTGTGTCTCTGGCCAGCGTAGCGGGGAAGGTGGGTACACGGGCTGACGGGAGAGGCAGTGAGGCCGGCTTGCAGGGCAGGCCCTGGCAGGTGCTGATAAGGGTCTGCTGTGTCCCCAGGTGTCGCCCTGCTTTGCCTCGTAGGAGGCAGGAGGCGGAGAGTTTGCCTTGTGCCTGCTTTTCTGATTGCCTGCGGCTCGAAACAATCCTTGCGTCCATGCTGTGTGGCTTAGACGGACCACGGGGAGGTGTGCAGGGCTCGGGGCCCCACGCTCAGCTCATACCTGGGTCCGCAAGCGGCTCCCCCATCACTGCCTTCTCCAGCGGTCTCCTTGGAGGCATCCGTCTGAACCGTGCAGGTGGGAGGGCAGCTCCTGGGGCTCCTGCTGGGCCACACCCCTGACCTCTCAGCTCCCCGAGCCTGCAGCTTTTAACCACAAAGCCCCTCCCCGTGCCCCGTCCAAGCAGAGTTTTATGACTGGGGCGCCATCAGTGACACCCAAGCCTGCCCCCCAGGCCCATCACACTGAGTGTGACGGAGGCAGAGTAGGGACTGGTTTCTTGACTCCTGCTGCACCCTACCTCCCACGGCAGAGACCACCCTGGGCTGAGACCCACCAGGACGGCAGGCAGGCTGCTCGGTGGGTGGTGATGGCAGCATGGTGGGTGCGCCCTGTGCTGGAGTGGAGCAGGGAGAGGAGCTGAGTCTATGGTTGGAGGATGGAGCTGTTGAGCAGTGTGGGGAGGCTGTGCGTTTACAGAAGGAGGAAACGCAGGACGGCCCCTGGGCAAGAGCCACAGACGGAGTTAGCCAACGACGGGCCAGGGCGCTGGCTGGGCCTTGCTCCCTCCGTTCCCTGGGTGCTGACGCTGTTATCACAGTGGTTGGCGGCTGATGGGCACGGGAGCCCGCAGCTCCCCTTGGAGGAAGGTGTGGGGAGCGAGAGGGGTCCAGAGGAGTGAGGGAGCAATGGAAGGCTGCGGCCCCGGGAGAGAATTTGTGTTAAACCACTCCCGGGGGCTCACAGATTTGCCTGCCGCTGAGGTCTGCTGTCCGGGTGGGACAGGAGGGAAGGGGGCAGGGCACCGCCATTGAAGGAATGACACGACGATTAGCACCAAGACGGTGGGAGACTCAACTCCCAGTAGATCTTGAGGCCCAAGATGGTGGAAGCGTTGACTTCCAGTTGGCCTTGAGCTTCACTATAGGCTCATTGTAATATACTAGCCTGGTAAATGGCGTTCCCACAGGGGCCAGGACAGTTCTGAGGCTGGCCATAAGGCTAACAAGTGGGTGGTGGCCCAAGACCTGGGAACCCCTGCCCCTTCCCCAAGGTGGCTGGAACGATCCTCCCACTAGTTAGCATGTGACGCTACTGAGCCCATGGGAACCAGCACCCCCACTCCGCGTGGCCGCTCTCCCTGCTGAGCGGGACGCCCGTGCTCTGTCTACGGAGTGTGCATCTGTCTAAACAACCTACTTTTACTCACCTATGGCTTGCTCTTGAATTCTGCCCCGTGTGAAGCCAAGGACCCTCCCTTGATGGGGTGCATCCCGGGGACTCACCTGGGACTTGGGACACCGCCAGCGTCTTGAGCCCCAGTTTCCTGTATCACGGGGGCTTCTTCCATGGCCCACCTGCTCCAAGGCTGTCACTTGGTTGAGGCTCCAGCTCAGCTGACAAGCTGCAGTCAGGTGTGCGTTCCCCCAGCCCCTCACTGAGACGTGCAGCAGCCAGAGAAGAGGGCGTGGAGAGGGTCGGAGAGGGCCGGGATGTGGGTCTGGAACGCGTTGGCTGGCCTGGGCCGCCTCCCTCTGCTGCGTGTGGTGAACTAGGTGCCACAGATCCTGACGGGGGAAACTCACCTTCACGGCCAGGTGAAGCGCAAGGACCCTGGGCAGCACCGTATTTTTTCTTACAGGAAGCCAGCGTTTTGTCTCCCAAGGTGGAGAACGGCTCATGCTCCTCACAGCAGGACCACACGGAGGTGCCTTCCTGAGCAGCTCGAGTGCTGGGCACCCAGTGAGCAAGCCGAGTGGGGCCGCCCGCGGGAGGGATCCACTCTGCTTTCCAGCAGGTTTGTGACACTTGCTGC